TCCATCCATCCATCCATCCATCCATCCATCCATCCATCCATCCATCCATCTCATTTTACTTGCCTGTGTCTGAAAAGCAGGGTAAATATTTTCAGCAGGAAGATCCTGAGAAGTGTTTAATAATGGTCATAATATATTATTTCTTTTCCTCTGGTTTAACCTGAGATCATGCACCCACTTTTGACCACTGATGATGAAAGAAACAATGTTTATTTGTCACAGGAATGGTCTTTTTTCATTTTAAGGTCCTTCAATAAACTTTTAATATTTTATTTAAAAAATTAAAATATTTAAACAGCTGGATTTTGCTTAAAATTCAGCTGTTTTTGAATATTTTTCTGCCTTCAGAAGGTGTGATGGGTCAGACTGATAAAGCCAAGCCAAAATATTTTTAATCACTATCCTTTCCATATAATATGCAGAAATACCTTGTGTCTTTCATTGCTGTTGTGCCCAAGGTGCAAGCTGGTTATTCCTTTACTTTATGGAAAAATGGTGAGCAGAAAGGAATGTGTCCTGGTCATTCCTAGCTCCTTGTCTTGAGGGGCAGAGCTCTGGGACAGCATCATCAGCCTGATGTTCTTTTCTTGTCATAATAATACAATCATAAAAAAAATACAGTAATAAAAAATACAGTCATAATAAATAATACAGTCATAAAAATAAAAATGTAATAATGAAATAATCCTGCAGGCAGGTGTAGATCTCACTTCCACCTCTGTGCCTGGTCCCAGCTTTGGCTTTGCATCAGCATAAAAAAGTCACCCTTGAGGGTGACCCAAGTCCTGCTGGACCTCTTGGCTGGGGCTTTTATTTCAGTCCAGGAATGCTCCAAATTACTGGAATCCAGCTGCTGCCTGTTCTCAGTCAGTCCCTTCTGCAGACTCGACCTCTGTATTCCTGGGGTTAAATTCTAGTGGAAGATGTCTCTGCCCGTGGCAAGGGGGTGGAAATGGATCTTCTTTAAGGCCCCCTCCAACCCAAACCCAACCACTCTGTGGCTCCATGAAACCCATCTCTGATGGGTTGGGAACAGGGACCTCACCCAAGGTCCTGAAACCATCCAGGGAGCTGCATTTGTCATTTCTGCATTTGTACAAGATGTCTCTGTTGCTGCCTTCAGAATGTTTTGTCCCCACCTCACTCCCCAGTGGCCTGACGGTCCGTGAGTATTTAATCTGTCAGTACTGCTGAGGACCAGATGAGTTCGGGTTGAAATGTCAGGGATTTGGATTTTCAGGGATTTCTCTGCTCCTCTCCTCTTTGCAAAGGGGTTTCCCAAGTGAATGCTCTTAGCTGCTGCACAGAATTTTCCTCAACCTAATGATTGTCTTTGTGTCAATGAGAAACTGATCTCATAATTCATAGAATCGTAGAATTGTTTAGGTTAGAAAAGATCTGCAAATTCCCTGAGTCAAACCATTGACCCCAAAAGGTGTCCCTAAGCACCACATCTACAAATTTTTGTAACACTTTCAGGGACAGTGATGCCACCACTTCCTTGGGCTGCCTGTTCCTGTGCTTTACCACCCTTTCTGTGAAGAAATTTTTCATAAATACAATCTATGGATTCATAAATGCAATTTAGACCTCCTCTGGTGCAACTTGAAGCCATTTCTTCTTGTCCTGTTGCTTGTCACTTGGGAGAAATGACCAAGTCCCATCTCACTACACCCTCCTGTCAGGGAATTTTGGAGTGCAGTGAAATCCCCCCTGAGCCTCCTTTTCTCCAGACTAAACCCCTCCCTGCTCCCTAAGCTGCTTTGAATAAGGATATATTAATTGAATAATTAATTACTTAAAGCATAAACTTACTCTGCTGGAAAATGTGATTTAAGAAAAAGCAGATGATTGCATGTAAGGCAAATTCATTTGTTTAAACAAAACCACTGTGCTAGTGAGTTTATATGTATCAGCTAAATTATATTAGTTTTTGCAGCTGAGGCCTCAGCTCATGAATTTTAAAACAATCAAAACAGTATTAGTGGCCTTTTGCAAAATTAGATTCATTTTCCTATGAAAGACCATCACAAAACAAGCAGAAATATAAGTAGAACTGCAAACACAATATGCAGTGTACATATACTTATTTTTAAAATTTTGTATAGCCTGACAAAAAAAATTAGGCAATTTGGGGACAGTTTGTCTGCAGAAGCTGAGCACTATCCCAATGTTTTTATGCATTTTGGGTTAGAAGTTCATTAAAACTTTTTTTTTTTTTTAATGAATAGCTTTGAAAAGGTCATCTAAAAGTTACTCCACTGTTTCTAAGTAGGGAGGAGTACAGAAATCAGCAGAGCTGCAAGTGTCTTAGAGTTGGTTGCACTTCAGCACACTCTATTTCTTCCAAGTTCAGTTTTTAGAGGCATAAAAATTAATACTTTTTTTTCCACCCCACCCACAACCCTAATTAATCAACTAACACATTCTCAGTTTAAATTAGAATTTTAAAATCTGTGCATGAAGGATTTGGTCTCACAGCTCCTCTGACTCAGACTTATTGAGAAGGTACAACCCTCCCAGGCACTTCTGAAAATACAGAAGTGGATTTTTGCAATGGAAGTTTTGCCTTATTTCAGAGTGGAAAGGGACAAAAGGGCTCCTGGTGTGTGCTGGATGTGACAGGAACGCTGCTCCTCATGGATGTGTGCAGGTGACAATGCAATGTTAATTGAAAAGGCATGACAATGACTGTATTATTTGCATGGAACATGAGAGTGTTGAGCCAACAGTTCCATGTTTGATATTTTATTAGTAAAGAATTTTGCTACCAGAGTTTTGTGTGTTTGCTTGTCTTTCTGGTTCTGAATGCGCCAACATTTTGGGGTGTAGTCAAGTCAGGGGGCTGGTTCCTTTTCCTGTTAATATCAGTAGAATCACAGAATTATTTAGGTTGGAAATGACATTTAAGGTCATCGAGTCCGACCTTTTACCCAGCACTGCTGAGTCCAGCAATGCCCCATGTCCCCAAGTGCCACATCTACAGACCTCTCAAATCCCTTCAGGGATGGGGACTCCAGCTCTGCCCTGGGCAGCTGTGCCAGGGTTTGAGCAGATTTCTGGGAGAAATATTCCCAAATATTTAATCTAAACCTCCCCTGGCTCAGCCTGACGTCGTT